TCCGACATACCACTCTTTGGCCAAGGTTTCACAGGGACATTTTCAAGTGTGTCCGAATGTTCATCAGAAGATTTGCGTCTACTGTGACCCGAGAGTATAATCCGGGGTTTTGCATTTGATGAACCGCCTTATACGACTGGCCTTGTTTTTCTCTTTTCCAAGGAAATTAAGTTGGTAGTTGATGCACTGCGTTTAGACGCGTGCGTAGATCCAACGACTACGCACACCCCCTCTGTACCTTGGTTTCGACCAAGTTGGCTGCAACCTGGATACTTGACTGCCCTTGTTGATGGTCAGAAAGGATGACGTAAAATCTTAAGAGAGTGAAAACTTTGTCAGATGGGGTTATGCTGTCCCATCTTAGAAAAATAAGCGTCAGCCGCCTGTGGGACATACCGGTGGTAATAGGAGATTTGTAGGTTGCGCTGGGGAATGCACAGGCGACGAGAACAAGCCATTGTATGCAAATGAAAAGTTATTTGGGATGTGCGGTTGTACATCGAATGGTTAAGAAACAGTTGCCCAAACCCCTACCATGACACATAACACTAACCCTAGCCATAATCCTAACCCTTTCACCCTAACCCTTACCCCTAACCACAGGCCTTAACGCTAACCCTATAGTACTGTGCCCATCAAATGGAGTTATATAACCACAACTTACTAAAAACGTTTTCAGTAACTTTTACATATACTTGTTTAAAAAGGATTATATTCACAATTTTTGTACTATTGTGCATTACGAAAGGTCGTCATTTGTCCAATGTCCAACATATTATAAAAATTGCGCATATATGCAGGCGATCGTAATGACAGGCATTTTAATAGGAGTTAACCTTTGTAACTCTTTTGGTAAAACCAGTCAATTTTGGCGACGAATAAGGAAATTTTGTTTTATCTTTAGAGTAACCAATGGGTCCTGGTCATCATTTCCCCTTTTAGGTGGAAAAAATGATTTTCCTTCAGAATACGCACCGTAGATGCGAAAAAGGTCAAGATAAGCCAACATTTGGTTATTGAGCGTTCTGATGTGATTAATGCAAAGAACGATGGAATAATAAAGACCTACATTTTCGCAATTCCAACACATATCTTTGCCTGACCTACGGTCGGCACTTAAGCAGACACATTCTAAAGTTCCGAGGACATAAAATGTACTTGCAGAAAAAAATACATGTGTGAGGCTGCATTAAAATAGTACCAAAGACACCGAAATGTCGCCTGAGATTGCCTGCATAATAGGGGTTTAATTATAATGCTAGAAACGGTTCCGGCCTATCATTTTACATAGATATTTTTGCTGTAAAACAGAACACGGCCCATTAAACGGATATGCATCGCAAAGGTACGTTGAAGGTTTAAATCATTGGTGTATCTTTTCCGGAAATTACTGCTTTTTTCACCAGATCCCAATGTTTGACCATAACTAAGTTCGTTATTTCAAAAACAAATTTGTTTATTCCCGTTTATAGAGCTAGCATTTAGATGCACCATGTAATCTGTGGTGCGTAAAGATGACACAAACAATCGGTAGCAAAAACAATATTCTACAATTATGCGTTATTCTTGGTAACCCGACTTTGCTAAATGGGAGGTGGTTGTGTAATGCAGTTGTAGGTTCGTGGGGTGTAGGGGTGTCAGCGGTGGGTTCACGTAATGGTCGTGGTGGTCGCTCACTTGCTTGCAGGTGAGACTGCGCCTAGCGTCCACTTGCTGACACTCAACTCTCACCTGTGGCTCCACGTAGCTGGACTCTGCTCAGCGGCCACACCCCGGGCAACCGTCTCGACCGGCGGGTTGAACCAGGTGAGGGGGCCCTGTACGCTGTGCCGTGTGCACAGGGTTTGCGGATTCCGCTGGATGTAAGGTCGGATGGAACCTTGCGTTGGCACCGTCGTGACGTGGTTCGTCTCTGCACGCCGCTGGACAGCCGGTGACAGGATGGATCTCCACATCGACATCGGTTTGACGAGCCCACCTACGCCGTCGGAGACCGCGGCTTACGGCGAATTCGAGTCGCTCTCCACTACAACCCGAAGTCGTGGTCCAAAATTGGAGTTCGGCCGTGCCACAACGGCACATGGCAGCCCTATTCAGGGATGGCACTGCCAGCCCCCACGAGGGGAAGGGCCTAGAAAAGGCGGCCTAAAAATGCTGAACACCACGCCGTCTGCAGGTTAGCCAGGGCCGCAGACGTCTAATCATGGTCGAAACAATCAAAATCAAAACAACAACAATATCAATAACAACAACAACAACAACCATACTCATTCTCCTCATCCTACCTCTTCTACCTCTTCCTCTGCCTATTCTTCTCCTTCGTCAACTTCTTCTCCATCTCCTTCCCGTCGCCCCACTCGCTCTCACAAGACTGGCAGGGCGAGCCCGCTCACGCTGGCAGCCTGGAATATTCGTTCCCTTTTAGACAATCCGAGGAGCAACCGACCAGAACGGAGGACGGCGCTAATGGCACGAGAACTGGCGCGCTACAAGATGGACATCGCCGCACTCAGTGAGACCCGATTCTCCGAACAAGGCCAACTGCAGGAGGCGGGTGTCGGCTACACCTTCTTCTGGAGTGGTCGACCCAGGGCAGAGCGACGTGACGCGGGTGTCGCCTTCGCCATTCGGACCGACATCGTGGGACGACTGCCCTGTCTGCCGCAGGGAATCAGCGATCGCCTGATGAGCCTCCGCCTGCCTCTCCAGCGAGGAGGCAAATTTGCCACCATTATCAGTGCCTACGCTCCGCCGATGACCAACCCCGACGCCGTCAGAGACAAATTCTACGAGGACCTGCAGGCCCTCCTGGCGACTGTGTCGAAGGCGGACAAGTGAATTGTCCTTGGCGACTTCAACGCCCGCGTCGGCACAGACAATTCTGCCTGGAGAGGAGTGCTGGGTCCCCACGGTCTCCGCGGCTCCAACGACATCAGACTTCTGCGCACCTGCGCACCTGCGCAGAACACCGCCTCATCCTGACGAACACGTTCTTCTGTCTGCCGGAGCAAGAGAAGGCTACCTGGAGGCATCCTCGGTCGCGCCAGTGGCACCTGCTGGACTATGTCCTCGTCCGGAGGCGAGATCAGCGGGACGTGCTGGTGACAAAGGCGATCGCGGGTGCTGACGGCTGGACCGACCATCGCCTCGTCATCTCGAAGATACGTATTCACGTTCAGCCTCGCAGGAGACCACAAGGTAAGCGACCCCAGGAATACTGCCTTCTTGTCTTTGCCCGCTCACCATCTTCATTTCAGCAATGGGGTAGCTCAAAGGCTAGACAACCTTTCTATTGCTGCCGACACCGCCGCTGCTGAGAACGCCTCCGTGGAGAACCGCTAGTGTCAACTGCGATACACGGTCCGGTCGACGGCGCTCGCCGTCCTCGTTCGCGCTCCCCGCCAACACCAGGACTGGTTCGACGACAAAGACGCCGCCATCAGAAATCTGCTTGCTGAGAAAAACCACCTACACAAAGCCTTCGTAGATCACCCCACTGATGCCACCAAAGCTGCCTTCGACCGCAGTCGCCGCCAACTGCAGCAACAACTGCGCGAGATGCAGGACGCCTGGACTGCTCTCAAAGCTGAGAAGATCCAAGGGTACGCGGAGCGAAACGAATGGAAGAACTTCTTCTCTGCGATCAAAGCTGTCTACGGTCCGCCGACGAAGGGCACTGCTCCTCTCCTCAGCGCCGACGGCAACACTCTCCTGACTGAGAAGACGCAAATCCTGCAGCGATGGGCCGAGCATTTCCGAGGTGTCCTTAACCGCCCCTCCGTCATCTCCGACGCCACATCGAGCGTTTGCCGCAAGTGGAGACCAACGCTGACCTCGACCTCCCGTCATCTCTCCAGGAAACCATCAGGGCCGTGCAGCAGCTCTCCAGCGGGAAAGCGCCCGGATCGGACGCAATCCCTGCTGAGGTCTACAAGCACGGAGGTCCCCTACTGATGGATCACCTGACGGCGCTCTTCCAGGAGATGTGGCGTCAAGGGGAAGTCCCGCAAGATTTCAAGGACGAAACCATCGTGCATCTCTACAAGCGCAAAGGGAATCGCCACGTTTGCGACAATCACCGCGGCATCTCCCTACTGAACATCGCCGGGAAAATCTTTGCCCGCATCCTTCTCAAGCGCCTCAATAACCATCTAGAACAGAGCCTTCTGCCGGAAAACCAATGCGGCTTCCGTCGTCATCGTGGTAACACGGATATGATCTTCGCCGCCCGTCAGCTTCAGGAGAAGTGTCAGGAGATGCGGACCCACCTGCACTCTACCTTCGTGGACCTGACGAAAGCCTTCGACACGGTGAATCGTGAAGGACTGTGGAAGATCATGCAGAAATTCGGCTGTCCGGAACGATTCACTCAGATGGTGCGTCAGCTGCACGACGGTATGATGGCGCGAGTCACGGACAACGGAGCTGTCTCAGAGGCATTCGCAGTGACCAATGGAGTGAAGCAGGGCTGCGTACTGGCGCCTACCCTCTTCAGTCTCATGTTCTCTGCCATGCTGATGGACGCCTACCGCGATGAACGCCCCGGGATCCGCATCGCCTTCAGGACGGACGGTCACCTCCTGAATCAACGGCGGATGCACTTCCAATCGCGCGTATCCACAACCACCGTGCACGAACTCCTCTTCGCCGACGACTGCGTCCTGAACACCACCTCGGAAGAGGAGATGCAACGGAGCAAGGACCTGTTCTCCGCCGCCTGCGAGAACTTCGGTCTGGTCATTAACACGCAAAAGACGGTGGTGATGCACCAACCGCCACATAACACAGCAACAGCCCCCAATGCGCCGCCGCAAATCAGCGTGAACGGAACCCAACTGCAAGTGGTGGAGAACTTCCCGTACCTGGGCAGTACTCTCTCCCGCAACACCAAGATCGACGACGAAGTCGCCAACAGGATCTCGAAAGCCAGTCAAGCCTTCAGTCGCCTCCAAAGCACAGTTTGGAATCGCCACGGTCTTTAGCTGAGCACGAAGCTGAAGATGTACAAATCCGTCAACCTGCCAACAATACTGCATGGAGCGGAGGCTTGGACGGTGTACGCAAAGCAAGCACGTCGTCTGAAACACTTCAACCTCAGTTGTCTTCGTCGCATCCTGAGGCTGAACTGGCAGGATCGAATCCCCGACACTGATGTGCTGGAACGGACGGGAATCCTCAGCATCTACGCCACACTGAGGCAAATTCTGCTGAGCTGGAGCGGCCACCTGGTGCGCATGGACGACGAGCGACTACCCAAACGACTCTTTTACGGAGACGTCGCTACGGGTTCTCGCCGTCAAGGAGGCCAGATTCGCCGTTACAAGGGTACCCTGAAGTCCTCCCTGAAACGCCTGCAAATCAACCCCACCAACTGGGAGGAGCTCGCACTCGATCGACTGACCTGGAGGGGGACAGTGAAGACAGGCGCTGCGATCTACGAAGCCAACCGCATCGCTACCGCCAAAGCGAAACGTGAAGCCCGCAAATCGCAACTTCGCCCAGTACGCAACGCCGCCGCGCAACCGCTTCCAGCGTGTCCTCAATGTCAACGGACATTCCGGGCTCGAATCGGGCTTGTTGGACATCTTCGGACCAACTGCGCCTCTCGAACTGCACCAAACATCGTCCCCCCGCCCGCCTCTTCCTCCTCCTCTCCACCGCCAACTAACTCTGGCAGTTCTTCTGACCCACCACTTCCATCATCATCATCCTCCTCCTTCTCCTCCTCCTCCTCGCCCACTGCTCCAACGACGGCCACTCAGGCGACTGTCCCGCGCCCAACAACGGACACTAATACCACCTCCCCCGACTCCAGCGTTGAGGATCAGGACTACACCTGCCCTCACTGCGACCGTACCTTCACCTCACACATCGGCCTGGTCGGTCACTTACGAATCCATCGCACGGAGACTGGCGAACCAGTGCGTGAAGCACCAACCTACACCCACCGCACTCGCCTTCACTGCCCACACTGCCCTCGCACCTTCAGGCATCGCATGGGCCTATTCGGCCACATGCGCATCCACGACGACCTGCGGTAGACAACCGCCGGTCACACCACACATTTACTCACTCCCTACCTCCTTCACGGCCACCATCACCCCACCAGAAATCAACACTCACACACCTCATGCACCCAACTGCTACCTCCCACGCAAGTGGGAAGTCCGCATCTCGACTCGGTCGCCATGCGACTTCGGCTGCAAGGGTGACTTGAGTCCCAGACTATCCCGACACGTCAAGCGTCGTGGATAGGAAGGTTGCTGATTGACGCCCGCTCTCGGTTCACGCAGTTCGTCGCGTTGTGTGTGTGTGTTGTGTGGAGTGGCGGACTGGTGGGCTGGGGACGGCTGAATCAGCACCTTCCACGGCACTCTCACGCAAGTGAGAGACACGCCGTCAACCCCCGTTGTGTGAAATCCTGGTTTTGTGTGTATGGGGGGCCAGGTCGTGCCGTGGCGCGCGCAGTCATGGTCTTCGACCATGACAGCCACCGCGCCCATTCCCCACTCTAGTCTGCTGACCGGCTCGGACAGCGGCTGGGGTGTGGGAGTGGGAAGGAAGAGTGAGGTTGACGACTCAGCGCACTTTCTTTTCAATATAAACAATCTGACGCGCTTGAAGCTATCACGGTGCGCTAAAAGCCGTGGCTTGGAAGGTTGCCAACTGACGGGGTAACTTGGACCTCCTCCTTGACGGGAGGTGGTCTGAGAGTCAGGCTGCAATGGCTTCTTTTTAATGTGGCCTTTATGGCACTCCCATCACAGTGTGGGATCCGAGCCAAGCGTTGGCGGCACGCCAAGGTGCGGCTTCGGCTGTGCCAGCCTCCAAATCTCTGTTGTGATTGGATTAAATCCTGGTTATTTGTTGTGTGAACCAGAGGGTGTGGTGGAACGCCAAGGTGAGGATCCGTCCGAACCATCCACCTGCGGCCTCCCTCGTCTCCGGTCTTCTTGACTCTGTCTTGACACCGGGCTCGGGCGAGGGAGGAGGAGAGAGTGTAGGTATATTCTACGCAAGTCTACCGGCACTATAAACACCTGCGTAAGTCACCTTTCCTGCTCTCATTGCTGCTGCAACTGTGGGGCACACGGTGGACATCATCGAAATCGATGGTCGAACTGTCATGTAGGTTCGTAGACCATTATATAGACCTTAATGGCTTTCTGGACATTACAAAAACGATATGGAAGTACGCATGCAAATATGCTGATTTATTAAAATGAAAGGGAGGTCTGTTTCATAAACAACTTGTACTCAATTGACAATTGATGTACATACACACACAATCCTCAGATTCTTTTTTCAAACCATGAGCAACATCATCTCATAGGGGACTGCAAACACGATAGATTTGAAGATGAAGACTCACTCCCCTTAATTCCAGCCGTAAACCCGATAGATAACATCAGTATATTTAATTATTTTATAAACTACAGAAGACAAACTTACAAGGATATTTGGAATTTTATGTATATTTCCGAAAGTCAGTCTATATGCAGAGGGTTAAAAACATTAAACAGAATTGAAAAGTCAGATGCTGCTCTATATATGTCCAAAAATGGAACAAATCGCCATCTCAGAAATTGACATTTAAAGAGGAATAGTTTTCAGTAAAAAACGGAGGCATGGCGTACACGTTAATCGATTGACATCAGACCGAACAGATCCGGCTTCACCGGACACCGATGCGGTCGACGTTTATCTTACGGTTTAACTAATCTTTTGACGTTTCGTTAAAGATAATAAAACTTGAGAAATCTCCACTAGGAGGTGGCATTAAAAACTTAGGCATATAAGGCATATAAACGGACGAAAGACACAATTTTCGTATTTGTAGAAGGAATTGGATTGATTATTCTCATGCATAAAGAAGATTTCGATAAAGGCGCATAAGATAGCTAAGAAGTAACAGAAGAATAATAGTACGACCAGCTGCGTGATTGAGCGATATATTTTTGTAAAATACGAGTGAAAATATTGATCGGCATGCAAAAATATCTCCCTTTTCTTTTTTTTAGAAAGTTAAAACAAGAGCTGCAAGTCCATATTCACAATGTGGAGAAGGAGTACTAACAAAATCCGTGGAGATTAAATCTCCTTTTTGAATTTTTAGTCATTGTTAATCAACCATATCCATCCCAGGTTAAAGAGATCCTGGAATTCAAAACAATATACTTTGGTCTCTAAGCATCAGGTCTAATGCTTCAAACATTCGCCTTGAGCAGTCAATTTACGGTATCAGAATTGGTAGATCATATATGTTGCGGTAGGTTGGGAAGGTAACCTGATGAAACCCAAGAATTCTATTCAGAAACTGGGGATTTAGGTAGCTAGAGCGTTGGTTGCACACCAGCCTAGCACTTAATGTCGTGTGTTTGAGTCCCATCGAGTGTTCACAGTTGGGTCACCTAGATTTTGCATATCTGCCACAGCATCTCTATTTATTAATTATGCGTTCTTGTTTTAAATGTAGAATCACTAAGCCAAGATTCATGTTCACTTTTAACGTCAACGTTAAGTGTCCAAAACGCAGTTAAAATTAGATGAACGGTTAGAACTATTAAAACGAAGTAATTAAACACTTCGTAGCGTGCAACGTATGTTACCTTCGAGTAAATGTAAATCATGTATGTAGTGCTCTTTTGTCACTTTTATGTACATCAGCCAACGAATTATGTGGATTTATAGTTGATATTGCCGCGATAAAATTAATTAACGGTCATTTTAAATAGAGTCTCATGCATTGTTGAGTGCGTAGTCTTTGAGGTAATGCTTTATCGGACAATATTTATTTCACACTTTGCAGAAATTATAAATATTAAGTGTGTTAGTCAAAAAGAGCGCTTATTATTTGGGGTCAAATGCCTCAGCCAGATATGATTTTCTATCAGAAATTTGACAGAGGCAGCCAGAATTCAAAAGGGTATTAGTTCCATCATATGCCAGTTTTATACTATGTAAGGCTTGAAAACCTTTTATTGAATGAAGATATGATAAAAATGACCGTGTGAAAGGAAAAGTATAAGGAAACCGCCTGTGTTTAGGATGATAAATAGAAACCCCCCAGCAGGCGAATACCTCATTGATCAGCATTGAATTCACAGCCAATATCAACGTTCAAGAATGTCGTTAAAGTTAATTTGTTCGGTTTTGTTCCTCCGCAGCCCGTTTGGATTCACTCTTCTGCATGAAAATATGTCCTGTTTTAATTTTAGTTAAATTTTTAATGGTAGGGGGCGCTCACCGATCGTTCATACAGAACTCACTCGTTCTGTTGTGCCTTAAGGGCTCTCTCTCGAGCCCAACCAGCAGCCGCACAGCGGCGCATGATACATAGGCAGAATGGCATTACCGACAAAGACAAGGAAGACTGGCAAGACAACGGGCTCGTGGCCCGGTGGATAGAGGCGTGGACTTCTAAACCAACAGGTCGGGAGTTCGAGGCTCGGGTGTTCCACACTTCGGGTTTGGGTATGGCTGGCTGACGACGGCTAATAAGCCAGAAATGGCCATTCCAGTCTCCCTTGTCTTTGTCCGTAGTGCCATTCTGCCTAGTTAAATTTATATAGTTACCGTATAGGTTGCTTTTTTAGGTTGTAGGACCTTATGCAATCCTCCTTATCCTTTATCTTGTCGTCGAGTAACACATGAACACGAGTAACACAAAAACTGTCATTTGGATCGCGAAAATACTAACCGAGCGCAATTATTCGCTGAATATAAAAAAACTCCATTTCTATATATGCTCCATACTACTGACTCTTTACATTAGTTGAGCACAAAATCTATTTACAAGATATAGTACTTCACAGCCGATTATCAGTACAGAATATTGGCTATCTACTGTTAACGCTGGCAGAAGTCACAAGCACGGCAGCACCACGTTTTCAAAAGCGTATGGCGGTTCCGCTGTATTACGTAGTTGGCCTTGCACGTTTCTATTTGCATCCAGTAGCATTTTCTAAAACTTAATTCGTCCGCGCATGCCTCGCTGAATTTAAAGCCAAACCGTGAGCAGGATATATTTATTTATCTTGTGGAAATCATGCAACCATAGCTTGTAAACCTCGATGTTAGGCGGGCATTTAATTTTGGTTAACTTCAAAAAAATCAAAAGTTGCAGGAGGAGAAATAGAACGCGATTTTGTGAAATAAGAATGTTTTAACTTGCTAATGGCTGATAAGAAACTTAGATAACTAGGGAGGACAATCACTCTTCATAACATTACTACATTCATGGCATGCGCACCCGAGGGCTTATTGAGGCGCATCCGTTTCACACAGACCATTTTCAAAGATTTGCATCAATGCATTTTCGACTGTTTGTTAAATGCTTTTGCAACCAGTTTATGTGTGATTGCTTGCAATAAATTTACTGTTGGTGTATTTGATCTGTACTGCCGCGTTTTCATGTTGATTACTTGTAAAAACACCATCGAGCAAATTCAGTTTTCTTAAAAAGCCGTAAGATATTCCAGTATGATAAATATTGCCGCTGCCTGTAAGTGCATAGTAACATTCAGTTTATCATTGTGCCAACTGCAGTTGTAGCAAATTCATGCAATCACAACTTGTCCTGTTACTCACAAATCAGTGTGCTAGTACTGCAGAAGTATGCTTGTCGGTATATGGTCGTAAGCCTGATTGTTATGCCCCTTCAACCGACGCTTCAATTATGCATTCCAGAAAACATATTAATTACAATAAGTACACATTGCGTCTTGACACACGCGCAGTACTATGCAAGAAGTAAGATGCATATTCTGCCATGCAGACTTATAAATTATTTAATTTTAATTGTACAAGCACAACTAATGATGAAATGGTAATTAATTTCGCCTATTTATAGCAAAATTGGCTCAATATTTGCTTATAAGACGTGCAGAATACTTCGCATCATATGTCAGCCTTTCGATTAATCACACATTCAGTGTAATATTGGCTTCCAGTATAAGTATACACTAAATGTTATAAGCAGAATTGGAAAGTCAAATTTGCTCTCAAATATGTTCAAAAATAAAACAAATCGCCACCCCAGAAATGGTGATTTAAAGAGGAATTGTTTTCATTAAAAACAGAGACATGTCATACATGTTAATTGATTGACATTAGACCCCACAGATACGGTGTTACCGGACAACGATGCGGTTGGCGTTAATGTTGCGGTTTAACTAATCTCCTGATATATCCCTAAAAATAACAATGAATAAGAAATCTTAATTTCTAGCCTACTATTTGATTAAATGAATATGACATTTTACGTGTAATTTGACATTTATGAACATTTCAGAATCTCTGCATAAGGAAGGTGTAACCAAACTGACTAAATAATTGGAGACGTTTCGGGGAGTTGTCAACTTGTTAGCTAGTATTTAGCAACCAGTTTGCAAATTGCGGGTTGTCACATTCGTATCTATTGCACAAATGCATGGCAAAAGAGTTTCTAAAGGCAACAAACGTATATATTACAGACAGTGCAACAGAGTCATGATATTGTCACAAGTGCTGGTAAAGATAGCTGTTATAAATTATTTAACGCAGCGAAGATTCTGACATAGAGCCTGTCGACGCTATTTAAGCACTGAGTGCACATTCAAAAAACCGAGAGGAAACAGTGGGCAAAGTTCTAGATTCAACTAGAGACAGCCCAAATATCAAAATAATTGGCTTTTCGAAATGGGTTTAATGCCAACAACCTGCTCTATTCCACGCCCTAGCCTAAGCATCGGTCCTAATCGCGTCGTCAATGTCCTTGCACTGAGCCACTCTAGGCAATCCACGACTCTCAAAATATCGCTGTCACACCGAAAAACGAATATCTATAATCAGCTATGAAAATGAAAACGTTCCGCTACTGGTGCATTCAATATACCACCTACTTCTCACACAATGCATTGTGATAAAGTATTTTGGCACGCCCGTCTAATAATCGGCCAAATCCAGCAATAAATAGTGATGATCAACAGCTGACATCATTTCTAGGCTGAAACACTACTGTGAAAACCACAAACTAATCTGAAGAATACTAGTTCGAACTCGCACTTACCATCCAGAGGAGCATCTTCATCAACATTAACTATCCTCTGGATTTTCGCAATTAACATTCATGCAAAAATGCGTTGTTTTTTTAAGAGAATTTGCAAATTCTAGCTGGGATCCGCGCTGGAAGTTTAATTTTCGGCCGAAAAACAACCAATGAATGCACGCTAGTTGATAATTATTTTTAATGCGACTCCCTAAGTATTGTTTTGTTCGACCGTAGTTAACCCACACGGAGTGCCTTCGGATGACATGATGTGACATTTTGCCTAATAAGCACATATGATAGTGCTGAACGCAACACAATGACGTTGTGTTGCGTCTCGGACACTCGATCGAATTACTCCGAGCAGGTTCGTCAGAGATAAAACTGCCCAGGCGATTTGTGATAGCATATGAGATATGACGAACTGCAGCCTTATTGGTATTTTTCATTTGATTTGCCAATTAATAGACCGATAAATCAGCATCCTTCATGTAACTAACGCAAACGAAAATGATGTTCATAACGGTCATTTTCATTTTCTATGCCGCGTATACTCGCAGATATTCCCAAATTAGACGGTGAACACATTAACCCAGAACAACGCAAAGGACTAAAGGGCATAATTTTATTTGACGCATTACGTGATAATCACATTGAACGAATGAGCTTCTACAAAAGACGGTGTTCACTATGTCACGCTGTACAGTAAATGGTGTGATTCAAACACTGACCTTTTGCCTTCGGTTTGTCAAAAGTCCACTGTGACAGTTTAGCTCAATTCAGTCATATATTAACTGACAGTGTCTTATCTCAAGCTTCCTAGAATTAACAGAAAATATCAATCCATCGCAGAGTGCTTAGATGCTTGCTGACATTTTTGCTGAATCTGATGTTCTGAGACTCTAGAAATGACTTGCTTCTTAGATACTGTTAGTGAAATATTTATTCAAAGACTGCGTCCCATAGCTTTCTATGCACATCTGCGTCGACACTACATACAAATCTTTCCATATACTGGAAAGACTATTGTTTTTACTTGGCCTTCTCCTTTTCCTCCAATTGTTTGTACTATTCAGAGAAAAAATGAAATCTTTAAGGAACATGGGGCTTAACATACGGATACGGCTGTTAGCTTTAAACATTGTTGCTCGTGGACGCACTTTGAAAATTATCCCAACGCATGGTATATTTCATAGCAAACACTCAGCTGTCGAACGCGTCCGCATAAACAGCCCAATCAAGAACCTGATTACTATGTCTCGCCAAATATTACGCAATCATGAGCTGTCAACGAAGGGACATTAAATCGATTTTGGCAGCAATTAAATTCGTGGAAATGAGTAAGGTCGCGGATAATGTATTACACAGGAGATAATCTTCTGATTTTATGCTCGAATGCATATATAAAATTTTAGCAGTGGACCTCTTGCATAAAGTCACAACCATCGAGCATTACAACGTACGTTTGGGCTTTTAGTCTTAATACTCCTTATAATGTTTTTTTGTGAATTTGCTTTTGTTGATTTCGTTGCAATAACGCGACTCACTCGGTTTTCGACAAAAAGTTACTTTGCACACTGCTACAGAAAAATATGCAAATTAATTTTTTTGGCGATGTTTTTAGAAACATTCATGCCAGATAGCATACTCTGGAAAATCAACAGATCAAAAACTTTCGACTTTCAGAAAATCGTTTTTGGCAACAAAATGTATCACCCATAAGTCATTTTTGACGTTTTATAAGCTTTGTATAGTCACCTGATATGTTGTCTTGATTGCTCATTCAGAATGAAGTTAGAATCAATGCAGCGGACTCTGTTCGTTTGGGCACTAATTGCTTTCCTTGGCCACCGCACCGTCGACGGTCTTAACCAAACCCAAAGGGATAATGTCCTTAAATTTCATCGTGACGTTCGCGACGCTGTCAATGCTACTGACATGAAAAATCTGGTAGTCTCAACATTTTGAAAAAACAATATTTGGCCAAATGGCGGTGAAACGACAATTTTGCGAACGTTTGTATTGACTACTACCTTTCTATTGAAAACGACATGTTTATCATCATGTTTTCGTCAAAAAACAAGCACACTAACAGCCACGTAATGCGCATATTCTCTTCCATTTGTGACAAACTTTTCTACTCACCTATGTTCTAGCACGATCGAAATTCCCGAATGCGATCCTGACTGATTTTGAAAAAAACTCTAGTGTACGCAATGGCATAATCAGCAGTCTTCTGTTTAACGCAGATTGCTAACTTGAATTGTCTGCTAATTTAGTAACTAGAGATTTTATGCTGGCTTTCTCAAAACAATGGATGATTTCTCGGTTACTTTATGCTTATGTGATATTGTTTGAGTCATAGCACGTAATGCAGACTGTTCATAAGAGATTGCAATGGATGTGATACACTTCTATACAGAACCTATTTTTACTGAACAAACAGCAGACTGAAGTATACAAATTATGATTTCGTTTGAAACCTTCGGGGTAAAAATTGGGCAAATAAGAGATTTTAAAAAATGAAACCTAACAATGAAAAAGCATACTTACATTGAAAACAATTTGATACAATCCTAAAATTGTGTTCTTCGTTACATATTTCTTTAACAGTTAGCTACTTAAGACTTCACTAACTTTAATACCTTATAATCACCTTGTAATATGTCTCAATATTGACAGTAGCCGAAGAGCTACACTGAACTATCTTGCCTACCTAATTATCGCTATTCACCCGAAGTCACCAAGCACTCTTAAATAAACTCCTCGTGAAATTTAGCACATTTACTGCCTAGTGAGTATGCAGTAAACTCAAGAAAACGTATTTTGGGCGGCATTGAACGCGACGGTATTGTATTCAACCCCGTTAAGTCGTTGAGTAAAAATTGCCTATCTAGGGCAGGTGCGGTTTTTCAGGAAATAATAACCGAAAGTCTGAAATATACTATAGACTCAAAAAATACTTAGATAGGTTTGTAATACCAGATACCGTGAAGTATATTTCAAAGATATGCCTGACACATAAGGAGACCGGCTTCTGAATGAGCATTTTCCCGGTGAAAATGTGTACTTGATTATTGGGAATTTTTGTCATTGATTTTTGATAAACTCGTAAACTTAAACATATTTTATCAGTCAGTATCAGTAAGTAAACGACAGAAGCCCTGAAAAGTCCATTTAGAGGGTACAGATATAAGGGAAAATAGGTGAATTGTAAAGCTTGTAGTTTTAGTAAGGAGAATTCATAAATCTAATAATGCAACATAAAGGCGAAAGGGGTTTTAAAATCGCGAAATAATTGCGAAAAACTTTTTTCACCGCATTCGGACTGTGAAAATTTCAATATGGGCTAAGTTTGGAGCACAAAAAAGGATCTGTTGAAATCTTGTTAGTAGTATATTTTTAGTCATTCAGTAATCCGTTAGATCAGGCTTCGTAAGTTCGGGTTGCCTTTCATATGTACAAAAATATTCGTTATTTTACTCACTGGGTCGCCAATCGCTAATTCTAAAGTTCTGAGGTTATGGTTATGTTTTTCAGGATAAGGCGATTATATATTAACAGTACATGTACTAGTCAAAAGCCCATTAACGCGTGTTGCGCCGATATTCTGCCGATGCATTGCGCAGCTAAGGCGAGTTCGGCTCGTCAGAAGGTCTGCCAGCATTTCCCGCCTGTTTTCTGGTAGACATTTCAATTTAGAAATCGTCGTTTTTTAATTTCCTCCGAAATTAACTGTGAATTTGGAGAAGATCAGTTTACTCTAGGTCTACAGTCTTAGGCCAAAATTGTTTTGTATGAGTATTTGGGCCGTAGTCCATCAGTCACGGAGGGCGACCGCGTAATATTCATGAACTGCCGACAAGCAGCTAGTAGTATACTTTGGGGTAATGCTAATGCTGGGGTTTTACGTTTGGTAAGCGTTTTAAGGTTAGAGTTAGCGTTTTTCAATCAGCATTATGACTAAGGTTATTATTTTGGCGTGATTGTTAGGGTTTATGGGTAGAGATTGAGGTCATTGTTTTACCATTAGTACGAGGCATTTACGAGTAGCTCATAGAAACAGGCATAGTGGATGGTATAGTGACTGATAAGTCACAGATGCTGTAATGCTATGTTTTGTGTAAGTGACCAAGCACAGGTATCCCTTACTGACTTTTGACCTAAATATTTTCCTTTGTGAATTACTTGCATTTTACCTCGCCTTTAATTTTTATATTTTGATGTCGCTTTTTGTGTTTTATTTTCACTTGTAAACGGGTGCAAATTCGCATTCCTCAGTCTCTTGTTCATGTTTAAATTTACTTTCACTTTCTCGGTTGCATGCGATCAGGCTAGTCATTTAATTCCCTTTCCATGTTTCTTTATGCGCTTGAGATATCACTAGATTTTGGAGTACTCAACCAAGGAAACAACTTAACTGTAATGTCGGGCGTTTATTCTTTTCGAAGTGTACGTTTCACTTTCTTTAACCTCACCCATTAAACTCCAATAATTAAAAAGTCGTATCATAGGCGTTTGTGGCTTTATGATTTGGGTGAATAACAATACTGTTGCTGGCAGTTTACGGTCTTCAGAAAAATTCATGCAAGATCTATCCCCGCACTGTCCGCATGGGATAAGCGCACTTTAACAGCAGACTCTGAGAGGCATTTATATCATGTCTACAATTAGACTGATCAGTAACCATGCTAATTTACCGGCCTGATGGTGAGTTACCGAAAACATAGGTTCGCCAGCTGACTCTTCAATCGTAATATGGAAAGTTTCGCAGAACTGAGACTTAATTTCATCAAAGCAAATTCCTCACGATCGATAACCGACAGACTTCGCTTCGCGCCGATGTTTAGAAAACGCGCCAAGGCATCCAACAAAATTACAGATGCATTTGCTTCCAACTTTCAAGATAATAATTATGAATGACTGCTGGTTCGCGCTGTCACCCTTGCTACGAGTTAACTGCTTACGTCAATATAGGAAAAGGAAAGATAAATACAGAATATGAAGATATGTGTTGTTTCTGTATCCGCGCTCTTGATTAAATTTTATTTTATTTCTGTTTGCATAAGACCTATGACCTGGAACTGGAGCAGCACGCGCAGAAATGGGTTGACAGGTGCAAATTCATTTCCCCTAACGCCAGTGACCCCGAATACCAACACACTGGCCAGAATATCGGTGCGGAACTTGGACCGGAGAGATTTGTTAATCATTACATGCACATGATTTTGAGCAATTGGGCCTTTGAAAAGACAAGATACACGCCCATTACAAACAGATGTCGAATACCCTGCATACATTACAAACAGGTAAGGCGTTGTTTTTATTTAAAGTTTATTTGATAGTTCATGACGCTGCTGCTTAGAAAAAGGTTTAATTTAATAATTGACATAATTAGTAACAGCTGCATAATAAACAGTCATAGTTATTGTTCGAAATATTGCATAGTACAATTTTTTACAATGCCCCAATTATTGCAGTAGGCAGAAGAACTGCAAGGAAGCCAACTTTACCGTCCATTGGAAGACCTCGGTAAAGCCAATCCGAGAGTGCAAAGTTCGGGATGCTGTGTAGGAAGACTTAGGGTGTAGGTGGGTTGCATATACACTGTTAGCAAGATGTAAAAGCGTACCATGGCGACATCTTTGGATTTGCAGCCAATGCCTTCCTTCATTACGAACTCTTCTGACTCCCTCAACTTGGCTGTCGCTCTGTTTACGCTGTTTACATGTTTCTTAAACTCGCCAATCTCTGAAACCCAATAGGCACTTTCGTTATATAAAAGATGTTGCAGTTTCGTCGTTTAAGCGGTTTTATTCTTGATAACCGTCAAGCATTCTTTGTCGGCGTCCAGGGTGCCGATATCCCTCAGCTCTCGATTTCTCAGGAGCTCTCGGCATTCTGTTTCTGAGATCGTCCCCTGATGGTTGCACCGGAGGAGAAGGGCTGACACTTAGTGTCGCATAGACGGTTTGCACTTTTCGTTTGCTTTACACTGCTGGAGGACTGATTCGAAGGATGCGTTGAAGTCACCTGGCCGTATATATCTGTAAAAACGGGCAGAGGTTTTACAAGCAAAATCCATCGTGCCAGATGTTTTTAAAGGGCTCGGAATGCATACTATCCCTGTTCTACGCATGTACATAAGGCCTATGACGCACTGATGATCGGTAACGACCGTAAAACAGTTGTCAACGTCTGGCCTTTTGCACACTTAACGAGCTGCCTTTGCATTATGTAAATGTATACACGTGCATTTTTGCATGTAAATGCGCTGTAAACCACTGCCCTTCCTTTAAGGACATTAAACTGATAGTCGAAGCATACGTTCCGCGATATTCCTTTGTGTCAATCAAACAAAATATGAGCATATTTCTGGGTGATTTACACATTACATTTTCTGCATTCAATACAATGTTCGCGAAGCGAGTTCCACACTACTGATTTCGGGCGAGTAGAAAATACCTGCAACAAAATCGCCTTAAGAGCCAAAAGCCTGCTAACAAAAACCGACGGGATTGTATAGTACCGTTGGGTCAAAAAGTCATTGCGTATTGGTGGACGTTGATTCGGCAAAAATATTCTATTGAGTTGTCTAATATTCACATGTAATATCCGAATGAATGCCATGATAGAGTTTTAAAGGATCTACGATATGAGTGCCAGATAGTTTCCAGCAGGTATAAATGCATACTTTTGAAATCCTAACTGAATAAAGACGAGAAGACGATATCAAATAAAGTTATGACTTTATTCCAAATACAGAACTTCTCCTTATTAAAATTGAATAAATTTGTCTCAATAAAGTCTGTCGTAGAAAATACAAAACAACACTTTCTGCTAACACGAATTATCGGATATTTAAATTTAACAAAAAAATTGTTTTTCACCACGCACAGATGGTGTGGGCAAACACAACAAAAATCGGCTGCGCAGTGCAACAATGCTCCGGAATTTTCGTTGGATACAACTCGACATTTCTTGCGTGCGAGTATAACAATAAGTGAGTCAGTTCCCTTGAAAAGCGGAATTGTGTCCAGTACAGGCTTGTAAATTTCCAGGCGACCTCTTCTTTTTTTAAACATTAGCATGTCTGATCGTAAATTTTGCACATTTATCGAAAAGGATCTCTCATTAGATGGAAAAAAGAACTACGTGCTAGGTAGATAAAACGCAATTCCACATCTGAACCTATCAGTTGTCCGTTAAGAAACATCCGTTTTTGGTGGAAACCACAACCAAATAATCAGTCTTCTTAGTTCTTCTGTCTTTCACGGGATTTTATGAGAAAACGACAAAATATGCAACCAAGGAAAAATTCGACGACATGATCCTCAGAAAATTGGTGAGTCCAAGCGAATTAAGTTGATTTAATGGGGCAAACATTCGTTTGCCAACAGGAATATTTTTATGAGCATGCTTTTGTTAAGGCAACTAAAAAACCGCAGAGTGAGCCCTCAAGATTGGTCTACAAATCTCGCTTATCAAACCTAAGCAACAAAAACGTTTCCTCTGGTTGTAGTCGTTTTCGACTGATATGAACTTAAGGCTACAAAGTACATGTAGGGGGGTTATGGAGAATCCGGGTTATCGATACAAAACAGCTGTAAATGTCGAGGTACCGAAATGTGTCCTTCTGAGGTTATACATTCTTACTTCCTATCATGTGCTGACGTAAATGATATAACAGATAAGCAGATAGACGGCTCTCCACGGAGATGCGCCATCACATTTTGTGTCTTGCGTTGTCTATATCCGTCGGGACAACCCGTTTTTTAACCGTGAGAAGCAGTGGAACTATACAACTTTGCAAAAGTTATTGCTCGGATGACAGTGGGCCTTCAATTATTCAGAAGCTCAGAACAATAATGTATCTCTTACCTACATTAAATGTAGTCCAAGCTGCCTAGATTGTTACTACGTAGCTACATAATCAGCTCGTATCGTCAACTATCAGCGCTAACGTCCGCTCCTTTTAAATCTGGTTTTGTTGATTAAACTACTAAATTAATAATGTCGATTCAGAAATAGCTAACTGAAAAACATTGCTCCTCCGCATCTCTACCGACTTATCTTGGGCAGGACGATATTTGCTTTCTCTATCAATTTCCAGCGCCTTTCTGAGGTCACCAATAATTGGTAAAAAGTTGCAAAAAGTGAAATTTTATACACATATTCATAGAACGCAAGCTTTTAAAAGGACGTTATCTCATGAAAACTTATGAATTCATGAGCCTTTAGAGGTACTCACAAGAGCGCTCATTTAGTTTATTATTCCCAAATCGGACGCTTTACTTATATAATTGGAAATAATTATGAGCGCCATGACCAAAACTCATTTCCAGAAGGGTCAGGTTCCAATGCATCTGTTAGAGCGGACGCGCTCTCTTCGTGACAATAGAGCATTTAAAATAATCCTCAGAGCCAGCAAACGAATCAAAAAGTGATCATTATGATGGTTGGGGGTGCACACTAATCGTTATTTATATCTTTTAATGCGTCCCCTGTCCGCATTTGAAAAGCCACTAAAAGCAATAGAACGGAAGACGAAACTATGCGGGTATATTAATTTAAATTTAATTAACAGAGCTTGCATCCCTGCCCACGTGCTATCTCTAAGATACTAACGCATCGATAGTTCGTAGCCAGGCCATTTTTGGTCGGATGCGGTTATGTAGCAACACCTGAGGTAAACAACGCCCAGCCATCTGTAATACGGCACCGATGATGATATGGGTTTTTACAGTTGGGGCTAGGAAACGCACAGGCGACTAAGTCAACTAGTTGCGTGCAAAAGAAAAGCTAACGGGAATGCGCCGTTGCACTTGGAGTGATTACAAAAAGGTTTTCCTAACCCCTTACCCTAACCACTAACTCCAGCCATAACTCCAAACACCAACCCCTAAGCCAGACCTCAAAAATATTGTTTCCATAAGGTGGGGCTACATAACCAAATTTTACCATTTTTCTACCGTTGCATACGCAAAAACGTGTACAGATTCCGCTTACCTCATCTTGCCAGTGAACGATTCCAAAACTGTCGCATATGCAGTAAACCGAAGGCTACGCTCCAGATATAAAAATTCGAATAATGCAAACGATATCGACCACGCATATTTCAATATCAATAGCCGATGTGTTCACAGAGCAATGCAATGCAGACAATTTTCACCTCACAAATATATTAACGGTCCTTTTAGTATTCAGTTAAAGAGCTATACTTTGCTTTCTACAGACTACGTATTAATCAATTTTGCTTGTTTTCAGAGGCAACATAGAGAAAGATCGGCCTTACACACTGCCTCCAAAAGAGGAGGAAGAAGATGATGAAGAGTGATACGGGGAAGAAGAAAGTTATTTGTTCCCAAAGTATTTTTTAAATGAATTTGGTTATTGGACTGTGGAGTGTAGAATAACAATAATAATATTGGTCTTCGGTTCCATAAGTATTTTGCAAAACCGTCTTCTGCAAATCGTCACATTTTGGTCACTGTTCAGCGTTCAAAATAGGTGTGTTAACTCATGAAATGTTGACCGAACTTCTGAAATGCGCTCTAAAATCGTAAGGATTGCTTAAGAAGTGTTGTAATACTAATGCCAGTGCAGCATAATACCGTAATAATTCAATTAATGCAGGATGCCGGCATTCACATGCTAAAAATCTGATCTGTAAAAATGACAACCTACGTAGAATGCATTTTTCCCACTGATTTTTGATGCGCACATAATTTCAGATATTTGCTATAGAAAGCATGAATAAAAAACCATCTCTTTAGTCATTTGGTAGGAAATAAGAGTTTATTAAAGTTGCATATCAGGAGAGAGCGTATAATTCAGTTTTAAAATAGTTTATAGTTGTGGAATATTATAAGACCCTGAAGTACCCGTTTAGAAAACCTTGTGTCGCTGCATTTACTAATGTTACTTGTAAAGTTTACAATGTGACTCGAATCCACGGATAAATCTAACAAACCACATATGGCCTTCTATTAATATCGCAGAGAAATGTATGGTTTTTTTACACGGAAAATATACAGCTCGTGGTTCGCAAACCACGAATGCAAGTGAACAGAGAGTCGGGTTCGAAATTATTCGGTAATTTAAAATGTATTTAAACAGAAATACAAACTTTCTTCACGTAACAATATGAAAAAGACGCCGGATTCTACGAAATAGGCAAAACAATAAATAATGTTATGCACGCTTAAAAGGAGTACATCATCATGAAGACTATTTCACTTTTTAATAGAATACTCGGTACTCCACAGTAGGGCGACAAAGATGGATAAAGGAAAAAGGTTTGAAATAATATTTTTACATGTTTATGAAATTCTTTTAGTCATAAGCTTTCGTAGTGAACTCAGCATTTACTCATCAGCAGATACGCTACTTGAAATTACCGTCGAAAGTCCGTTAGCAAAAACAAAAGAAGTTATTCTAGGAACTACGCTAAACAGCGGAAAATGACCTATTTCACATCTTTAAGTCCTATCTGCTGGTACACAATAGCTGAAAGGTGATGGAGCCTCTATAAGGATCTACGGACGAACACCTCCAAGTATATCCTTCTCAGCTATAGAAAGAACCACTCAACTTTCAAAACGACGGTTGTGGCAAGACCATTCATTAGTGTTCTTACTGGCGTGGTTACCTAGTACTTGTAGCGGGAAACTCCTAAAAACTCGGAAAAAATATGTGCGAAGGAGGCAGTAACACGTACTTTACTTGTTAATGTAGTAACAAAGATCTTCAGTAGAACATATCTCTCTACCGGCAGACAGCAAAATGCAACAAAAATGATGTTAGTGATTAAAGCTAGAAAAACATACGATACTATATATATTATCCAACGTTGGAGTCTGCGACTCTGGGAACATCTGCACTATTAGCAGTTATTCGATTGCAAAATGCACCACAAAATGATACTATCCATTTTTTATCAGCAGTAAAGAGAGGAGACAATCAGAACAAGGCAAGGTGATGAACGCACCGTTCAGTGAAATGCATCAGCGCGCTATTCAAGTTAAAGAAATAAAACAGCTCAAAGTATCAGAAGACATCAGGAATTCTGGTAAACCATAAAATCGGGAAGGTGACGCTGTAGTTGGAAGACCACCACATAAAGGATGGAAACAAACTAAAAGCAATGCAAATTGAATTCTGGCAGTGGAGCATTTGTCGTTATTTCACCGTAATTCTGATGCGTGGTCCAAGTCATTTTGGGATTACTGTGTTTTAGAGTATTTTTGTTAAATTTGAACAGGTATGTGTAACCCCTAAAACCGCAAAAACAAAGTGAAAAGGACTGAAGAATAAAGAATAGCACTATGAGTACCTCAGTTGTTGCTATGAAAACACATATATCTGCCTTTCGACAAATCAACAACACGACAAATTGTGTTGAAGCAAGTAAATTGCCTAGCATAGAGTGACTCACTCGAGAGCAACACACCCGGATTCTTTCCTCGGATAAGCCGTGACTAACAGTGTTAAAATATAAAAAAGAAACGACTATGTCCAGATTTATACGCCCTACAACGCTTGTCTAGTCAGCTGCAGTCAAAGTATTGCACCTGGTTTTTAAGCGTACATTATAGGGGGGACGTGAAGACTTAGTGGGTTGTTGGTGTAAACACAAGTTGAAGCATGTGGACCTGTCATTGCAATTGTTTTCCTTTCACAGGAAATTACTCCCTTCAAAGCTCCTGATGCTATCAGGGGATTAGGGAGTTTTTGCTGCCCGAAGTTTCGGTTCTCAAGGCCTTTAGGCTTGGAAAGCGCTCAATCGATATATCAGAGCACTCACGTCCCCGACCACTCAAGATTGTGTTAGCCAACCAAGATCAAGTAGGACTTATTCTCTCACGACGTTTCCGAATCAAAGACACCAACCGCGGCGTTTTTTCAGCCGGACTACACACCGGCAGAGAGAATAAAACGTCGACAATTAGTTCTGGAACTGAGAACAAGGTTGCAGAATGGCGAGACGGATCTTGTGATCTACAACAACCAGATAGTGCAGCGCCCTCCCCTAGTCCGTTGGACCGAACCGATCCGGATGAGGGCACATTAGCTTCCTTAAATGGGATCACGAGCGGCACCATAATCAAACGCCCCAAAACTCTGAAACTAACATTTTTTTACACCAACGTGCAGAGTATATTGCCCAAGTTAGACGAACTGAAGATCCACATCTGTGACCTTTCCCCTGACATTGTCTCTTTGACAGAAACCT